CTGGGCCTCAACTTCCCCATCCGGGCTGGAGAAGAAGGATGTTTCGAGTCTCTTTGGGCTCTGACATCCAGGCAGCCACAGTTCTGCTGTCCCCACGGTTATACATTAGGCCGCGAGTCTGGGATCACAGCGCACTGACCTGAGCCAGCTTCCCGAGGATCCTGCTGGAGGAGACCTGGATTCCAGCCCTCCCTCCCCACTTCCTAGCTGTGTGCTCAGGAGCAAGTCACCTCTTGTCTCTGAGCCCCAGCTCCCTCACCTGTAAAATGGGGACCCCATAAAGCTTCTACCTTCAGGTAGAAGCCCTGAAGGTAGAAGCCCACAGGAGACAGGAGCTGCTGCCGCAGCTGTCACTGCCCATCAAGAAGCACAGGACCCATGCAGACAGGGGCTGAATGGTTAGCATTAAATTGATGTTGTTTCACTGGCAGGTTATGGAGTCACTGCTCTGTTTCAAATGCTGGGTGGGAGGGACCAGGAGAGTTGGTCCAGCTCCTGAGGAGATGCTCACACTCAGGATGGGGCAGAACCACAAACACCCCCAGCCCAGGGAAGCCAGCGTGGGGATGTGGTCCTCAGTGTGCTCTCCCAGCTCCACTTCCTTCTCCCTGACCAGGGGTCTCAGACAGGCCCATGAGCAGGGCATCGTGGCTGTCAGACACGGGAGAAGAAGGTGAGGCTGGAACCGACCTGCTAGGACAGGGTGGCACGGCTGTGCGGGAAGCGGGTGCACGTGCTCATGCTCACCCATCACACTCATCCATCATCTCACACATGCTCACACTCATCTCACACGTGTAACTCCCACACTCCCTGTCACCCTTTAGCACAAAACGCTCTCACACACACACTCACACACTTGTACACACCCACAGAGGTCCAGCGAGTGACCCAGAGGCAGAGGCCAAGCCAGGGAGACCCTCACATTGAGGCAGAAGCATCAGAGACCCAGAGAAGGGCAGAGAGAGAAAAAGAAGTGGCATTCAGGCCAATGCCGTCAGAGAGAAAAACTGCAGTGGAATCAAAGGAGGGACCCAGGTGTAACCACGGGGAGCGCCAAGAGCAATGGTGGCCTGGCCAGGCCCTGAGCAGGTCACACTGGAAAAGCAGTGCAGGAGCCGCTGGGCGACCCCGCCCAGAGACGGACGGTAACTTCCCTCTGACTTGTTCCATGCAGATTTGCCAGCCATTCTGCTGCCCATTAGCCCTTCTTCCTCCCAGTGACCCCCTCGAGGGGTCTGTCTGTGTCATTGCACCACAAGGACACTGAGGCCTGGGAAGGTGGTCATTTGTCTGAGGTCCCCTGTAGCATCAAGGCCAGTGCCCAAGGCTGAGCTCTCTGACGCCTCAGGGCCTGTCCTCCAGGTGAAGGCACTGAACCTCTGAGCTGGCAGGAGCTGATGAGGGGTCTGGGCCCTATGCCAGGCACCCTCTTGCCCCATCCATCTACTCCATCATTGTTGTGGGTACACCCGGCAGGCACCTTGCCTCTCTGCACGAGTGCCCTGTTTCCTGCCCTGGCACCCACCGCTCAGCCTCCCTGAGGCTCGCACATACCTGGAAGTACTTGAGAGTAAATCCACCAACAGGTGACCCTATCCAATGCGGGAGGGAAGCAGATGGGTGACAACTCCCTCCTTCCAGCTACGCAGCAAATCATGCTGAGGGGTCTCCTGCATGGCTCCCATGACAGTGATCACTTGGCACACACCCCTGTATTTACCAGCTTTCCCACCTTCTTTCCCTGGGACTCACTCTCCCAATTAAACCACATGCAGGGCCCATCTCGGGCTCTGCTTCCAGCTAAGGCCCCAGACAGGGCTCTCCTGGGGCCCAGCACCAGGGGAGCTGCGGGTCTTCTCTCCTCCTACTTCTCTTTCCCCAGGACACCAGGCTTCTGCTCTGATCTATTGTTTGCTGGATTCAGGAGCCACCACATTTCCCAGAGGGGCCAAAGCACTCTTGTTTATCCAATAACAATTCTCAGCAATCATCTCTAGTCTCAAACCATACAAACAATAGGTGCCTTCCGCAAACAGGTATCCTGTCCAAGTGGATCCTGGGATAGGGTGGGGGCCGAGACGCACTGCAAGCTTTTACCCACGCCCAAGATTCCGTCTTCACATTAGGACACATGTCATAGGCAAGACACCCACACAGCCATTCATGGTCTTGGGTTGTGTGGGTGTGTGCATGTGTGTGTGCGTATATGTTTTAAAGATAGATTTACTGTATCTTTTCATTGCAAAAGCAATGCATGCCAGTTGTCCAGATTACAATGCAAAATGCGTAGCTTAGAACCTGAGCTTCTGCCTTTTCACTTGAGTATGATTATTGCTAGTTGCCCCTGCACCAGGATGTGTTCAGGGTCAATGAATGAGGTCTGTTGGTCCCCTCGGGGACAGCCAGCTGCACTTATAAAGTACCATTTCTTCTTAAGGAAACCATCCATTCAATGGCTGCCTCATCCTGTAGGTTGCACCTACTAGGTGCCAGGTACTGGAGAAGCAGTTGTGAGGGAGACAGATGAGGCTCTGTCTCTGATGAGTTGCGTTTTCCCTGATCTCCTCTTCTGCTCTGCAGTATTCACTCAGTTGCCTCTGGCTCCCACGGAGCCCCAATGAGGGGCTGCAGCTGTCCTGCTGGGTTCCCTGCATCCACAGGGAAGGGCTGCATGCATAACCCAGAATGCAGAGCAGGAATAGGGCTGTGCTGTGGGTACTGTCCTGCTGCTGAGCCTTTGCAGTAGCTCTGGCCAGCCAGATCTTCCCCTCTGGTCATGTTTCAGGTCACCTGTGCTCAGCTAAGGGTCTGTCTTGTTGGTCGATGTTGTGCCCTGGCAGAGATGGCAGGCATCCTGAGGGCAGGGGCAGGTGGGGTGGTATTTCTGGTCTTTCCTGATGCCTGGCCCAGCTGGGCATCCTGTGTGCTCTCAGCACAGATTTGCTGAGCAGGTGCCCACAGCCAAGAGAGGAGGGTTGTGAGGGGCAGGGAGTGGAGCAGTGAGGTCTGCAGTCAGGGCAGGAGGGGCAGGAGACTGGGGTTTTTTACCAGGGGTGTCTCTGTGAGGAACCCTCTCCCTTCACAGGGTGCATGGGCAGGAGAGGCTGGGGCATGGGAGGTGGCAGGAGGCCCGGGAGGAAACCCACAGGACCCAGGAGCTGGGCATGGCCTTGCAGAGCAGGAATCCCCACAGAACTCCAAGGGTGGGCATGTGTGCCAGGAAAGGCCGAGAGACTCACAGAGGGCACCATGTGGGTGTCCCTTGTGGCCAAGCATCCCCAAATAGCATTTATCAGCTTTTTCCCCTTTAATTAACACATGTTCCTTCGTTAAGTAAAAAAAAAAATCATGCCTCCTTTAACATTGTGTAACAATTCAAAATAGATATTTGGATTTCAAACAAATTAAAATAATGGGGGAAAACGCTGCTCTATTCAAATTACCCTCTGCCTAAATCTGATGTTATTTCCTCACCTTTGGAAGCAAAGCCCTAACAAGTTCGGGCTGAGGTCGGCAGGTTTACAGAATTAGTATGAGGGACTGACAGAAACAGCTGTGATGGGATCAATTATCTGATGAATCTAGTCCCTGTGGGATGTGAGCTGATGCCTGAGGTTCTAGAAAGGTCACTCGTGGATAATCTCAGGAGCTCAAAGAGGCATCTTCATCCAGGGCTTGGATGGCTGAGTTTCTCTCTTCTCTGACTTACTTCTTCAGTTCACCCCAGGGAGGGCACCCTCTAATGCTGCTGGCTATCCTCAGCAACTGTTTCTCCCCATATACTTATTATTTTTTTTTCAAAACAACCTATCTCCCTCCTCTCCTTTCATCTAAATTCCTACAGCCTGTGGTTGATCTTGGCAAGATGTTGTCAAATCCAAGGAAAGTAGTTTATACTATGGTGTAAGAGACTGACAACTTAACCACTGAAAGGAACATTTGAGTTTTTAACAGCTTGTGAATTCAAAAACGTCTCAAACAGGTGGAATGTGCACAAGAGATCTTTTTGAAGTAGGGTCTCTCCCAATTCCACGTGCCTACTGGGCCACACCTACCCGCTTCCTTCAAGAACCAGGCTCAGCTGCGGGCCCTTCTGCGGAAAGCTCAGGCCCCGTGCTCTGGCGTTTGGGCTGCCAGGGTGGGCGGAGACACAGGCCGGGCGCGCCCGGCGGGGCAGCCGTCCCCAAACCTCAGCCCCCGCCTCTCCAAGCCCGGAAGGAAGCCGCGGCAGAGGAGGGGGCGCTAGGGATGCCCCGAGCGCGCCTCACCTGCGGGAGGGCACGTCCCGGGCTTTTTATCTTCCGAGACGGGGCCTGCGCGGG